AGATGCCAAGGCCTTACGGAGTTGATATATAATGATAGGACATGCCCAGACAGGATATTTCTAGGCTAATCGAGATTTGAATTTGCAAACCAAAGGCAGTTTAAACTTTTAAGTGGAACTAAATTGTCCAATATTAGGCTGCCATTTAATTGTGGTAATCTTACGCTTTTCCCAGAAAGTTTGAAGTCTCGCCAGTAATTTGTGTCAAAATATGAAACCAAAACTGGGTCAGAGTTAAGCCAAAAAGCTTATCATAATAAATTCTATACTAAGAAACTTTAATCTCAGTCTAAAGAAGTTTTTCATTACAACGATTTATGGCAGAAAATAAAAAGCAAGCCAAAGTTCAGTACTCGAGATGCCTTAACAATTCAACGCACTGCAGCCTGTAATTTCTTCGCTCCAGACATTCGTTTTCTCGGTTCTCCGTAAGCTGCAAAGGCAAGCTTAAATATTTATAATGCTGTCCAACACTTGGTTGACCACAACTGTTGGCCTGGCCAAGAACATTGACCGCAGACCCAAAAAAAAAAAACAAAAAAATCCTCTAAAAACATGGCAATCGAAGGGGAGGGAAAAAACAATAAATTGATTTTTGTATCTCCTCGACGAACAAGTGCAGGATTCGGGTAAAAGGAATATATATATATATATATCCGATCCAGAGTGCTCGCACACGCCCCGATAATTATGAAATTTGAGGCAAAGAAAATCTAAAAACCCAAAAAAAAATAAAAGAAAACAAATTTCTACAGAAAGCAAAAATCAATTTATGGAGCCAACACGCCCCGAAAACTTTCGAGCGGCGACGTTTAACTGCAAAACGCCCAATTTTCAAGGCGTGCCCGAGCAACAGACATTTGAAAGGATACAAGGCAAGGAGGAGGACGACGAAGGAAGGACAATGCCGGGCCGCAACATATGCGAAAGGGATAATAATTCACTGGCCAAAAGGAACGATGGGAACAATGGTCACATAACTCAGGCCAGCCAGATGAACTAAGGACATGGATATATATATATATATATCTGAGGAGGTATCCCTAGCTGACCGACCGCATTATGAACTCGGGATCGGCCCTAATTCAAAGGACACGCGCACAGCGGGCGATGTGCGATGTCCTTTTGGCCAGCGTTTGATGTGCGGCGGCGGCTAGGAATTGACATTTAATGAGCAGAAACCTCGCTCCCACGCAGCACCCATGGGAGTTTTATTTCTGAACACTCAAAAAATTATCTTAAATTTGATAAATTATAGATTTTATATATATATTTAAACTTAGTTAGTTATAAATTAAGGAAATATAAAAACTGAAAAAGAGAAATAAAGATTTAAAAGAGTTTTTAACCCACTTAAAGTTGACATTATTAAAATTTTCAAAATTAATCCACAAAAAGGAACTTTAAAATATGAAAGAAACTAGTTTCTAGATTAAAATGTAGCATTTAATATATTTTTTTTAAGTGCATTCTCTTACATAAATCCCGGCTAGGCAGGACCTCGTTTGTGCAACACCTTTTGTTATCGCCAAAAACACTTGTCCTGAGCTCCCTGACTCCCTCCTAACCAGTGCACTGGGCAACTACAACATTGTTACCTGTACATTGTGTCCCAGGTTTGTTGTCTAGTGTCGTCCGCCGTCTGGTCGATGGGGATTTTCGATTAGCTCTCACACATATCAAAATCGGACATTAATTGTTTTCAGGTTCGTGGCATGTCAACAGCTCCGCCAAGCACGTCGCCTGGCTGACCATGGTTTTTCTACTCGATTTATCTGTCTAGCCGGATAAATTTTATGGATTTGTTTTGTTTGCCGTTGCACTGAGATTGCAACAATTACTTATGAATCATGAATCATGTCTGCCCAGAGTCTAAGTCTTAACGACTGGTTTTAAGGAGTCTATTAAGGCGATTTTTGATGGCTAGATAGGTCGTAGGTCTGGAAAGTAAAATATTTGGTTGTCAAAAAAGTCTTGCGGCATAAAATTGGTTACAATAATGCGATTCAAGTCAAATATTCGCCGTTGTGTTCGATGACGCGTTCCCAACGAGATGCCAACTTCATAATGCCCCTCTCATAGAAGCTCGCTTCCCTATTGGAAAAACTCGGAGCGTGGCGCATCTTCGACCACCTCTACACCAGAACGAAAACGTTGATACCATCGTTGTGCGGTGGAAATGGAAACTGTATCTGGTCCATAAACTGCACAAATTTTATTGGCGGCTTGAGATGCATATTTGCCTTTATCGTAGTAGTACTGTAAATTATGCCGTATTTTCTCTTTATTTTGCTCCATGATTGCGACGCTATAACTCACGAACGACTTAAAGGAAAAGACAATTAATCAAACGCGTTTTAGCGCGTGAAATGAGCTTTCCAAAAAGGTATAGTATGACCTGATGCGACGAATAAAACAAGAACTACGCGCTTTTTAGCGCCAACTAGCCAAAATACTGCAAGACTTTTTTGACAAACTAATATTATGGGAACTATGAGATAATTTCTGATTAAAAGTGTGAAAAGTCAAAGAAAATATAAATTTTATGAAGAGAACTTTCCAACAAAGGCAATCTGTAAATCAAAGTGAGATTTATTTCTATGTTCTTAACTTATTTGTTCATTTCTTGTTTGGCAAACAATTTGTACTTGCCATTAAAATCACAATTTCCACATTTCCCACACTTTCACATAGTATGAAGTGCTGGGCAAATCGTTTGACTTTTGCTCTTTTGTTTGCCCTGCCAATGAATTAAAATCCCCGCCATACAGGCAAACATATCAGCAGAGCAAACAAGTGCTGAGGCAAGACAAGGGTCCTCCACTTTTGACCACATTGCGGCCAAGTACTGGTCGCATTCTGGCCCAAGAGCCCAGACCAGCTGTTCCACTCAGCCACCCCAAATGGTAAGTTCTAACCCAACCATCCAACCACCCACCACCTTACGGCCACCACAAATTCCACCCGCGTAACAACCAACTGAATTCTAATAATTTTTAAACAAAAACAAACTTCCTGGCCACATGCCTCATGCCCATGCACTACACCACTGGCATTATAGAAATTACAATGAGCGAGTTTACAGAATTCGTTTCGAAATTTCACGCCACCGTCTGTGACGAAATTTGTGTTACTCTGGCAAAAGGACAAGTGCAGCGATGAGCAGCAGGATGAGTCACCCTTCAGAGGGCAACCCTCATTGGTGGCAAGTGGAAAAAGGTTGCAATATGAAACCCAAAAAAAGAAGCAACGCAACCCCGTGGAAACAGTTGCCACTTTTAATCAGCATGAAAGTTCCCGTTCCCATTCCCGTTCCTGTTCAGCTATTTAAGAACCCCCAAAAAGGAGATTCCGATTCCGTTTCTCTCAGAATTAAAACTCAGACGAAAATGAAAATTTCTATACTGGTTTAGAAGGCGAAATAAATGAATGCATGAATTCCAAAGCAATTTTGATGTTGACATTGAGTAATGTTGGCTTCGTTCAGCCTGGCTGGATCTGGGATCTGGGCTGTGGGTTGGGATTCAGGTTGCTTCAGTGGGTGGGTGGTGGTTGTTTGGTTTGGCATTTTCATATCATTTTCGAATATTACATGCGGATTAGCATTTCCTCATCGGGATTGCAACAAAACGTGTGCCCATCAATGGGGGGGTTTTATAATGTGGGGGTGTTTTTCGAGTTTTCCTTTGGTTTGGGGGGGCCATTTCCCAAAAAACAGGGGGTGGCTCACTGCACTGGGTGGGTGGTTTTGGCCTTTGTTCGGGCAAGTGTGCTGTCGATTACCCTCGGAAGGTGTTTTTTAGTAGTCTTAAAGGTCTTTGTTCATAAGAAATTAAAGTTGTTAGAGGGAAATTGACTTAGAAAAAGATAAGAAGAACAATGAAGATGTTCTAGGAAAGGATTTTTGTACTTATTTATTTATTGGAACAGATTTACTTTACAGATTTTATAGATAAAGCTGAATTTATATAATTTTAATACCAAATCAACATCTCTCTTTATCGTCTTACTCCCAAAAAGTGAAGCCTAGAAGAAAACTCCTTCAAATCCAACGCCTTGGTTTCATAGTTCCCAAAACCCAAATAGCTTTCCTCATTTTCCATCTCACAGAAACTTGCCATAATCTTAGCATATACCTTCAACAACTTTTGGCTTCTACAACAAGCCAAAGACTTTCGGACAAGTTTAAGGAATTTCCCAAATCAACAGCCTTTCAGAGAACGAATAATGGAGAGAGAGAGAGAAGGTAGGGAGAGGTCTTGGCAAACCCAACGTCGAACTAACTTTTCAATTTTCTTTTCACGCTCGCATTTTACAAGCTGCTACATGATTAGGGTCAATGGTTGCAGGGATCCTACAACCACCCTTTCGCCCTTCCGCCTTCCTTTCCGTAAATTGTAACAAGCTGCCAAATTTCACACTCAGTTTCTGATTCTGAAATAACTCGAACGAACACGAACACCTCCTAACGAAGTAAAAGTTTAAGGGAGGGAGGGGCAAGTCTTTATATATCTCAATCTTGTCATCACTGCGATTCTAATCATAATCACATTCACTGAAAATTTTATTATTAACTGACAGTTTATTAAAAACTCATTGGATTTTACTGGCCTGCTGAGATTTGTTTGCTTTTGGCCTGGAATCCTTCCTGGTCCCTTGTTTGTTATCGAGATCATGGACACATGTCCGGGGCTGGCTGATTACCGAGGCTAGATAAATATTAAGCAACTGTATAAGGGGTTTCCTCTATCAGGATTGGGAGAAGGATTTCGAGTGACGCCATCATCGGGCGCTTCCTTGCCGTAATTGACTCCCTGCCAAAGGGCACAAAAACTGCTCCCCCCCTGCAGAAGCTGGTAATGAAATTTTGGCTTCGAGTGGTATCAGCATATAAGGGGGGAGGCAACCCCCCAGCCAATTTCAACTCAACTCAAGTTGTTATTGTTGTTGTTTTGGCACGTGGCACTTGCAACGTGGCCAGGAAATGCCCTGAAATTGATTTTTATTTTTATTTTTATTTTAGTTGAGAGTTTTTGTTTTTCGCTTTTTTTTGCCTGGGGCTCTTGGTGTAATTATTTCTGTCCTCTGTCTTCCAGCATGTGATTAGATTTTCAAGTGAAAGTTTATTCAGCTTTGTTGTCCCTCAATGATAATTAAAAATGATTAGCTCATAAATATTTCCGCCTGTCGAGGGTGAGATTTATGAGAAGGTAAATACAGAAGACAGCCCTCAGATGCCCTCAAGGCCAAGAAAATATTACAAATGAAAGTGAACGTTAGGGTGGCAATACAAAGGGGTGATTGTAAATGAAAAGTAAAACCTTAAAACAGGTTTTTTTTTTTAAATATTATTATTTACTTTAACTGATGTAATTTGTAAATTGCACTTCACAGATGCATAATGTCGGCAATATTCTCACAGCTTAACGCCATTCCATTCATTTGGTTTACTAGAAATGTGATAAGAACTTGTTAAGTTAAATAAACTTATTGATAAAGTTATATAATATTTACTTACTCAAACACTTTGTGGCCTCCAATTCACAGAGTGTGATATTGCTCCACTTTAAGCCAATTTCCAGACTGCAATTTCGATTTAACTCATTTGTTAATTTGCTGAATTTTCCCATTTTTAACTCAGTTTCTTGGCACTTTAACAGCACTTCATTGCACTTGAAGAGATCACCAAAATAGTTTCCATTACTTCCACTAACAACTTTTAAGAGATTCAAATCCAAACTTATACTTTTTATAAATAATCACAAAAACTGCTTACCTAGCACTAATAATATAAACAACATCTTGACTTTAACTAAAGTAATTTCTCTACTTTAGTCAGTTATAAAGACTTAAGGCTCTCCCAACTCTTTGTTTCGCCTCGGCCTTCTGTTTTAATGAATTCTTTAGCTTATCTTTTGTTTACTTTTATGTTTTAACAATATGTTTATTAAAAAAGTTTTACTTGCTTAAGCTTTTGTTAATTTCTGCTGTTGTTAAAGACAATAAACTTTATACTTTTTTACAATTCCAAGATTTCGGCAATGTTATTGCAGGACATATCATCACAACGTCGCAGGATTACTAAAATACAAAATTAGTTAAGGAAAATGAAAGTTGTTAAGTCTGGAAAACTCACAAAGGCAAGTGGCTTTTTCCATTTCACAGCGAGATACATTATTCCATCTTCCACGACGCTCTCGACGGCAATGCCGATTAAAGGAGTCTATGGTCTCATCAAAACGTCCTATCCTTGGCGTAAAACGTTGGCAATCTGCGTAGACATTCTCGCAGTATTCTCTATTAGTTTGAGCTTCGATATAAGACAAGTTTAGAAGGCAGAGAACTGCAAAGGGATAAAGGTAACATTAAGGACTTATAACTTAAAAAAGAGATAACTCTTACCCAACAGCAGCAAAATTTTCCACATTTTTAATCAATATGTGTTAAGTAATCTGATGACTGAGTATCTCTGAGGTGGTATTTATATCAGTTAATAAAAAGATACAGATTTCTTGCCAGATTTCTTAATAAAAGGAACAGCTTTCACATCTTGTCAATAGACTGCTCCCAAGAATGCCTTTCTATCCTTGATCTATTCTATTTTTCAGGTGGTTCTTTGTTTATCTGTTTTTAAATCTCTTTATATATCTCTCAAGGGCTATCCTTGCTCTGATTTAACAACATGCCCCAAGTGTTTTTTTATAGGCTAACAGTGTATAAAACCAGATACATCACCCTCAAACTATCAGTTGATTTTCATCAGCTTTTGTAAAGATGCGTTGCCTCTTCATTTTCTCCCTTGTAATAGTCCTTTGCTGCATGTCAATCGCGGCTCAAAGCCTTAATTGCAGCAGGATTCGTGAAAATTGTCGTCCTTGCACACGTCGTCTAGTGGATCCCATCAACAATCTGGAGTTCATAAATAGAGATTGCAGGGAAAGACTACGAGATCGTTGGATTTGGCGCGATGTGAGACGTTGCGATATGCAAATTGTTGCATGTGAAAGTAAAAACTTGATTAAGATAAAATATAAACAATTTTATTAAATTTACTTCATTACAGATCATGAGAGCAGACTGGATTGTGAGAATGTGGCTAGAATAACTGGAATGAGAAGAATTCGTTAAAATTATAAATTTCGAAAAATACAATTTTCTAAATAAAATTTTCATTTTTGCGAAAAAATGTTTGGAGTTTTATTTAATTACATTTACATATGTTCAGATTAACAAGATTTACAGTTATTCAATTTATTTTAAATTATTTAACACAATTTTTACGTCGTTTTTCCTTGAGCACGTCTTTACTTCGCCAGATTTTCTCGAATACGCTTCCCCGTTCCTTGTGTCCTCGTTGCTTCTCTCTTCGTTTTCTACTTACTTCTTTCGCTGAACTTCTCCTCTTCATCTGAGGATTAAGACGAGCACGAAAAGTACAGCGAAAGAAGAATAGAAAACGACGACGTGGTTCGTGGCTACTCGGTTCGTCGTCGTCGTCAATTTTGTCCGTCGCTTTCTTACTTCATTCGCCATATGATCAGTCGTCTTAGGCTTTTATCGATATCTCTTTCTTTTTGGCATTTCGTTGTCTACGAATTTTGCATGTTCTTGGAAGTGTCATTGTTTGACCATTCCCACATATAGACATGCACACATACACATATACACATACATACATATATTAATGGGTTAGAGTCCCAGACTTCGGCAAGCTAACCCAGCTTCGAGTTGGCTTTCGAGGCTTTAATCCACCACTGATCAAACACACCTAAACATATGCACATACACATGTACACATACACATATATTAAAAGTTTACTTAAACTTTTTATTAGAAGGCTAAGCAATAATTTTATTAATTTTCTTTTATTTTATTTAGTTTTCTTTCCCGCATTTGACGAGCCACATTCTTACAAGTAGGACTCTCGCAATCGCGCACAGTAGCTGTAAAACTAAAACCATAAGCTCAGGTTCTTCAGATTATTATATTAACTTACAAAAACAAGCTATTCGTAGAAGCTCACAGCGACTAGCATCTAACCAGCCCAAGTCGAAGCTCCTACAAAACTCGTTAAAGAATATGGAAGTATCGTCATGGTTTCCCAATCTCGATTTATTATTCTTACATTTCTCATAAACTCGCAAGCAAGTTTGGTGTAGCCTAAGATAATTCTCATTAGGATTGCCTAGAATTTCAGTCAATAACAAACAGCAGGTGACTTTGATGAAAGTATAGAGTTAGATTTAGAAAATATCAATCCACATTATGACTTACTTACCTAAAGCCAGAGTAAGTTTTGTCATTGGGAAAGCTTTTGTGATGGATCTTTAAATATACTGTGATTAAATCGATATTGGTCCCGCTATATTTATACCCTTAATATTTGCCCGGTAACAGCTGTAACTTTTGCTTCATAAAAACCACAGAATTTAAACAGTTTGCATTGTGAAAAGATAATTTTCTTTATCCCAGAAATATTCGCCATTTTCCTTCCTTGTTGACTATCTTATATAAAGTCTGGAGATGAGACACTTTTATAATCAGAAACCCCAAAGATGCAGTTGGCTGTTACTATATGGATTCTTTTAAGCATCAGCTATGTGGTTGTAGGAAAACTTTCACCTGATTGCCAAGTTATAAAGGACCACTGTTCAGGTTGTCTTCTTAAGCTTAACGATAGCTACAACAACTTGGAGGTTGTTAACAATGGATGCAGGCAGAAGTTGCAAGATAGTTATGTATGGGAGGATCAGAATCTTTGCGATATGCTAGTGATCGCTTGTGAGGGTAAGCAAAGATGTTTCTTAAGTTTAGATTCTAAACCTATATACATTAATTTATTAATATTTTCAGAAGCTGGAAATAGGAAGAAGGATTGCCTAACAATCGCGGAGGTGACTAAGATGCACAGGATAAAAGAACTTTAAATAAATATAAAATTAACATATTAAAAGGCTAATAATATTTCAAAACGTATTAAAATTTGTAAAGAAATCGATAAGAAAAATAAATAAAAAAGATTCCCTTATTAAGGTAAAAGTTTTAAAATCCACTTTCATAAATGATCCATCAAAACTTTTTTTGTTTTCATACTCCCCAATTAAAAGGAAAATATAACTACATTTAAGTATCAAAAACACTACAAATTGGTCTCATAACACATTTATTTGATTTCAGAGGGATGTAGCTCGATAATATTAATTAAGTCCGCAGGCTATCGGCCACATTTTTGCAAGTTCCATTATCACAGCGAACCATGCTTACTGAGGAATAAAATTCAACATAAATCTACAACTTAAAGTCAGAGAAAATAAACTTACGTATGCATGAAGCGCGGACCAATTCACAACGGGTTACCCTTTTCCAGTTCCGATCATGACGTTCGCAATAGGCATTGAAGAACCCAACTGTATCATCCTTAGTTCCCACAGTAGGTTGCTCTCGAAGGCAATTTGAGAATAAGCGATTACAGAAACGGCGACCAGAGGAGTCCTGAGCAAGGACTTGGGCCACCAAAATGCAGCAGAGAGCTAAAGGAATAAAGTTGGTTGATATTAAGCTAACTCCATGAGAATATTAACTTACCTAAAGCGAAGAAAAGCTTAGACATTGCAGTAGATGGGACTTGATTAACTCAAACTCTGACTAACTCAAAGAAAACTCCAACGTATTTATACCGTAAAAATGAATCCAGGAAAATACATCTGTGATTGTCCGCCCCCAGCTGTGAAAATTCATTCTTTATTTTCCCCCTAAATATTACACAATCCCAGTACAATGGGTCATACTATCATGGCATCTGCAGCCCAAATCTGTTTTATTATTTTTTATAGAAAATATTGTTTAAGATCACAAAACAGATGTGATCTCATCTAGGACGCATCACTTCCTTGTCTGTCGGTTTATATAAAGCAGAAAATTTTGATTTGATTTCAATCAGAAGAAAACCTTTAGCTGATTTGCTTTTATTTGAGTTTGAAAATGCATTTCACAAGTATTATTGCTGGCATTTTGATCCTTGGATGTGTGGTTATTAATGGCCAAGCTCCTGACTGTCGACAGCTAAGGGAAACCTGCAATAACTGCATCCGAATGCTCAATAATCCCATTAACAATGTGGAGTATATGAACGAAGGATGTCGCGAGAAAGTCCGTGGCAGATATGTCTGGAAGAATCAGACACGTTGCGATCTTCAGGTTATAGCTTGTGGAGGTAAGCAAGTTATAAATTTCATATTTTCAAAAAAGAAATTAATGGTTTTCCCTTACACTACCAGCCCACAAGAAGAAAATGGATTGCCTGGTTATTGCCGAACTGGCTGGCATGCCCAGACGCTCTTAGAGGAATGCCCAAAGGCGTTATGATTACCACACAAGGAAACCAGCTAAAATATTAAAACTGATTTTGTCCAAATAAATGCATATTTGCGAAGAGATTTGACTTCGTTACTTTGGCTTGTCTGCTTGGCCAATAAAGCGATATATTCTTGTCGTGGTCTTGGTCTGGTTCTTGTTCTTATTCTTGTTCTTGGCCTTCAATTTTTTTTCTACGACCACAGCTCGAAGCCCTTCCTGGAATCAAGAGTCGCCCAACACCACGAGTGCATCTTCCACGTACAGGGCATTATCGTAAAGACGGGTCCAGACCAGCATCGCGATGAGTTGAGCCAGGCACGCACATCGTCATGCTTGTCTTACACTTGATGCATCCTCGTCATCTCTCGTCTGGCAGTTCTTCAAAAAACTTCCCCACTGCCACGGCCTCCCCGCCCACTTTTCCAAAACATAATTTTTCAAACGAAATTGTTTTGATTTTCTTGATGCCATAAAAAATGGGAATTTATTACTTGAAGGTCTGAGATTACAGTCAATGTTTTTTGCTCTCAGACGAGGAGAGTTCATCTGGGGATCTTAACTTGGGGGGAGGAATTTTCCACAGCATGGGCAAACAGAGTGGCGCTTTTAAATAAGTTACCTATTTACTTGAACTAAAATTGGCTGCGACCAGAGTTCAAGTCTAAAATTAAAATCTATCCTGGAATTATTTACACAATTGCCAGCAGTTAACTGGCGGCGTGTGGGTGCTATAAAAGTTCTTGATGGAGCTGCCAAGGTGTACAGTTTTCCAGAACTCCTCCAAGAGGTCTCAGCATGAAGCTAACTGTTATCTGTTTACTGGGTAAGTTACATTTTAAATATCATAAACTAAGAAAGGGTTTAACTAAGAAAGGGTTTCATTTGCAGTGACCTTCGTTCTGCTGGAATATGTGGAGCAGAGTGAAGCCTGCTTGGAGGTTATTGAGCAGGCGTTGGGTCTCGAGCCCTGCAATGAAGGTGGTCGAAAGGGGCACAGGGAGCCACATAGAGGTGGACCAGGACCTGTAAGAACTACTAGGAGACATGAGAGAACTCGGAGACCGGAGAGAACCACTAGGAGGCACGAGAGAACCACTAGGAGACATGAGCGAACCACAAGGAGACACGAGAGAACCACTAGGAGACATGAGAAAACTACCAGACCTCCTTGTACTTGTACAGAGAAGACCCGTCCTCCTTGCACAGAGAAGACTACTCAAAAGACTAGCCCACCTTGCACGGAGACAACTACCCAAAAGACCAATCCTCCCTGCACGGAGACGACCACCCAAAAGACCAATCCTCCTTGCACAGAGAAGACTACTCAGAAGACTAACCCACCTTGCACGGAGACGACCACCCAAAAGACCAAGCCTCCTTGCACGGAGACGACCACCCAAAAGACCAAGCCTCCATGCACCGAGAAAACTACCCGAAGGACCAATCCGCCTACCACAGAGAAGACTACCAACAAACCTTGGCCACCGGCGACAACACCTTCTCCAAAAACAACAGCTTCTACAACCACTAAGAAACCCTGTGGATGTAGTACGCATCACCCACCTGGATGGAACCCTGGCGGTCCTATACAGACAACACCCTCAACGACCACCACAAAATCTGGCTGGAATCCTGGCGGTCCCATAATAACAACCCCTTCAACGACTACTCGCAGGCCTTGCGGATGCGGTGATCACAATCCACCAGGCTGGAATCCCGGCGGTCCTAGAATTCCCATACCCAATATTCCCGGACATTTTGGACCCGGACCTGTGATTCCGAATAGAGGAGGAAACGGATTTAATCCTGGCGGTCCCATAATAGCAACTCCCTCAACGACTACTCGTAGTCCTTGCGGATGCGGTGATCACAATCCACCAGGCTGGAATCCCGGCGGTCCTAGAATTCCCATACCCAATATTCCCGGACATTTTGGACCCGGACCTGTGATTCCGAATAGAGGAGAAAATGGATTTAATCCACATTGCCCTCAGGGCTGGAATCCCGACAGTCCTTTGATACCAGTTCCCAGAATTCCCGGTCACTTCGGACACGGACCTGTCATCCCCAATAGAGGAGGAAAGGGATGTGGTTGCCGCAACCAATGTCCACCAAGAGAGATACTCAGCGAAGAGCTTCGTATAACTCTGGATCGGATACAGCTAATGATTGACGAATGCCTCTTGGAAAGCCAAAGACGTTGAGGGAACATGGCAGCTGACCAAACGATTTGAAAACCAAAATTCATTTTATATTGTTAACTAATGAAATAAATTGTTTTGCATTTAGAAGATTGTTTAAGGTTTCATAAGAAACCAGAAATCTGATGAAAAGATTTAATTTAATGGGTCAAAAGTTCAGTTTTGGTCTAAGAAGAGCAATCTTTTATGTTGATTTAATGAGACTTTGCAATGCATAGCCTCTCAATATGCTTTTAATATGAGTTGTGTGTACGCGTGTGTGTCCATCTGAAGTGCTTTTTAAATACTTGTAGCGGTTTAAGCTTTTACCCTTACCAGCCATCGTAGCAGCTGCCCCAAAGACTCCCACCCGACACCCACTTCAGTTCACGTCATGAACATGATTATGTACTTTATGAATGTGCAGAGAAGCGATTGGAGTTTGTAAATACTAAACGAAGTTTAGATACCCTAATTAAATGAAATTTATATTGAATATGGAAAGTATTTTAATTCGAATTTAAACTTTGTAAAAACCAAAAATCCGTTTAAGATAAGTTTTATATTTTTCTGAGACATTTAATATACTTTTAATAAGGATTTTTACCACGTTTAGAATAATTTTAATTTTAATTTTAATCAAAAAATCATTAATTTAGTTAAAGTCAAAGTTAACTTAATAGCACATATACCCTTTCTAAACCCAGAGCATAGGTGGTGATGATTTTTCCACTCAGCCTGTGCCAACTGCTTATATAATATTTGAAAATTGAAAATCTTTTTGGCGTTGCACTTGAAAAATGCTTAGACCAGGCCATGATGATGAACTTTATAAAACTCTTGACCACATTTTGCCGCACCCCTTCCATTTCCAGTCATCTTTCCTTTGCCCTGCCCGTTCCGTTCCTTTCCACTTTTGGACATGTCTGACCAGCTGACGTCCCAAAAAGTGGTTAGAAGAGGGTTTGCAGGGATGGGATATGGGGCATGGAGCATGGGTATAGGGAATGCATTGCACTTGACTTTAGCGCCACTTGTAAGTGTAAATTTTATTTGAGCCAGCATAGTAGGTACACATGTAGACACTCACATTCAACCAGGCCCTTTGTCAAGAGAGCTCCAAAGTGCCTGGCCAGCGATATTGGCGTTTGCACTCAAACTTGGTCTTGGACTTGGACTTGGAAACAGTTTTGTACTTGGTCTCTGGCTATGGCTATGACTCTGTAGTATGGGTCTCGATTTCGTTGTCGGTGTTTTTGGCCCAGAGTTTGGCGTCGTGTCGCTGACAGCTAAGTGGTGATAATCGCTTTTGAATTGAATCTGAGCAAGTAAATTTACACGCAGACCAAGTTGAAATTCAAAAATGCAACAGAGAAAAGATCCAAGAGCTTGGACACTGAACACTGGACACTGGACCCGGGACCATTGGACAAAAGGCGTCACTTGTTTGGCCCTACTCCGTGTCCCTCTGTTTTGGGTGGGCGTTTTTGGGGTTTTGGGTTTTTGTGTTTTGGCTGCGGCTTTATACAGAAGTCGAAAAGGGGGTAGGGGCTGCTAGGACTGGGGGCTAACTGCGGTTTGTTTGGCTGGTTACTGTGGCTTCTAATTTGTGAACTGGATTTGCGGCTTCAAGAAACGAATGGGATTTGTAAGTCATTAAATCAGAACTTAAAGTCCTTAGTCCCACAACTTGAATAGTTGAAGAGAATAATTTGTGGAATTAGCAGAGGGTTTTGTAAGTGAAATTTCCTTAACCATTAAACAAAACCAACTTGATATTTCAATGCTCTCTGTTATTTTTATTTATCAATCAATTAACAAAATGATTTTTGCAATCAGTTAATACGTTCCATTCCGGCCAATTCAGCAATATCAGCACAGTTCATGCGTCGGTCCGATCCTGAAGTCAAAATAAATTGCCAATAAATACAAAATAAATACTAAAACCTTCTTAAAAACTTACCCAAGCAGTTGAGCCTGGTGAGCTCACAACGTCCCACATTCCTCCAGCGCCAGTTCCGACTCGTCCTTGTCCTGCATTCCCTATTGAAGGCTGGCAAAGTGCGATCATTGTCATTTCTCAGGCGTTCAACGCAAAGCTCACACCTTCTGGTCAATTCATCGCAGTTCCGATTTTGTCCAGAGACCAGGGTCACGAAAAGGACTATTAACCGGAAGAAAATTATATGATTTCAGGGAAAAATACCGCCTAATATCCTTAACTTACTGGATAATACGGCCAAAACAACTTTAAGATGCATTATTTTACACTTGATGTCTCTTGACAGGAACTTATCAGTTAGCTAACTACCGAAGACTTGGGCCCAACATGACTTTATATAAACACCAAACTCTATGGGCATGGAGTTACCAAAGCAGCTGTTTTATTACAAAAGTTAAAAGTTTACAATATAGAACAAAAGCCTTACAAAAAGTTATGAAATACTCTTTTCAAGACCTAAATATAAACTAGGCCATCTTTTGAGCACATGGAAGTGTGCGAAAACAATCACTTCCTGGTTTTAACAATGGCATTTATTGCATAATAGCCACTGGAAAATTCCGTAGCAGCTTAGCACTTTATAAAAGCTCATGTGTGAGCTGATTTACGGCACTGAAGATCAAGCAAGTTCTCAGCAGCAATACCAATATGTTGAAAATTAATCTACTTTTTGGTACGGATCTTGTTTCTTCTGTAATTAATAATAATAATTAATATTATATTTATCCTGTGATTCAGCTTTTGTTTGCCTTTTTGTGGCTATTCAGGCTCAAACTCCAAGGCCAGCGGATCGGGAAATTTGCCGAATTGAAAACGAAAAATGCAAACGGAATGAAAGAAGATTGGGAAGGGACAATGATATTTCCAACATCTTCAATGAGCACTGCCGCCGGTCAGGCATTACAAACTGGCGTAGTGTCAGTCGTTGCGAACTGTCTCTGGCAACTTGTAGATGTAAGTATTTCAGTTTTTAACTATAAGTTTAATAAATCATTAATTAATATTCAAATTATTATGCACAGTGACACTGGAGCGTTGTTCCACCATAAGCTGTGAGAATGTGAGAAGGAGTCTTAGTGCTGGCGGTCCTCCCACTCCAAGAACAACAACACCAACGCCTGCAATTCCTGACACTCGAGGTCCTCGTCGAACTACCACTCGTAGGACTCCAACTCCTGCTACTCGGCGAACTACCACTCGTAGGACTCCAACTCCTGCTACTCGCCGTACAACTACTCGCCGAACGACCACTCGCAGAGGTAACACTCGTCGAACTACTACCACTCGTAGGACTCGTACAACCACTCGCCAACCATCCGAAGACTAAACCGCCTCAGGATTTACTTTGTAACCATTGGGAAAAAGTTAACTACAATTTTTATTACCGATAATCAATAAACGTTTCAATGCTCTCTGTAAGACTATGTTTTACTTCGTATAACCTATTAAGATTTTTAAAGAACATGGACTTTCCTCTTCCGATATTTAATATGATTTCAAAGACTTAGCATCGATTGTTACATTAAACTTTTATTAATATCCATGGAATCATTGATTACATTTATCTAAGTAACTGAAAGCAATCAAGTTATACATTTAAAATATCTTCAGTTTTATTAAGCTCCTTTGGGTATTCTTTTGTAAAAGTTATATTACCCAACGTAGGTGTAACACTAAGCTCTTCCAAATTTCTGGTTACATTAACCAAATTTAATGTGCCATTTCCGCTTGCATTTGATGGCACTTCTAGGCCTATAATTCTCATTAAATTCATCGAGTTATTCCTGTAATTTTCATAGGGCAGTGAAGAGTAAAAGATAATTCCAGCTAGGCAAACTCCAAGTACCATTCCCATCAACAAACAAACACAAGATCTCTTGTTCGATCGTCCTTTTAGTAGAATAGTTAGTCATTAAATTTAGAACTTATCTTAGTTGTAAGCGACTCACCTTCGTTTAAGAGGGATCTACCTGCCAGCTTGCTATTTAGCCTCGGAGAGCTTATTGGGATCATTTTTAATCAAGTTCTCTTTATAGAATAAATGGAAAACGTGTCGGGCTCGGCCTTTACTTTTATATAGCGCCTTAAGGGAACAATTGTATAAACACAAATTTTAAATGCATGTGAAGAAGGTAGTTAAACTTATTTCATTGTGGATTAACATAAAAGAATATATATATATTAAAATATATATTAATATACTATACTAACAAAAACAAAAAAAGAAATATGTGCATATTTGAGAACTTCTTACTACTTGGAAGCCTTTAAGATTTAAATTTTAAAATGTCAAAGTAAGAAGCAGGGGTGCTCAAATTAGACTTACGGCAGAGAATTTACTAACACAATTACAAAAAGACGTGCACATATGTAGTGACGGTTTGAAGCTGTGCACTGAGAGAAAGAAAAACGCCTTCTTTTTGCTCACAAATTCATCACTCATTTCAACACTCACGTCGATGGTCCACTGCGAAATAAACTTCAAAGTGCAAACAGTAGTTACAAGGAATGATTTCCAGTGCAAGTGTTCGAGGATGATGAAGGAAGAACAGTTAGCGACGGAATGAGGCGGAAAGAGGAAAACGAAAACGAGAGCTCTCTTAGCTTTTGGGTGAGCAAGCTCATATGAAGAGAGGATTTACAAAAACAAATGAGCACTCAAAGCATAGGCGTAGCATAGCACCCCTGCTTTAATCTAAGTAACTATTTGGCACATAAAATTCAACAATGTTATTAAAAAATACAAAACGAAATAGAGAGCATTGAAGTGTTTATTATTTCGCAGGTAATTGGATTTCATTCTTTTTTTACAAATACCATTTAATCCAGTATGGGGCCTTACTCGGCGGGTCGGCGATCGAGTGCTCTCCTGACATTCTCACAGGACAAGGTGTCACAACGTTCCAGGGTCACTGAGAATGGTATTACATAAAATTTATATAAAATTAATAATAATGTTGACAGAGAAGTCTATCCCTCTTACATTGACAAGTGGCCCTGGCGAGCTCACATCGAGTGATGTTACGCCAGTTTCTGTTCAAACGGCGGCAGTTGTCGTTGAAAATATCAGAAACGTCGCTGTTCCTTCCGTTTCTTGTAGCCCTTGACTCACATCTCTGAGTCACACGTCGGCAGATTTCTCTATCATTTTGGGCATGAACAGCCACGCAAAGGCAAATGAAGGCTAAAACAGGATGAATTCAGTATTTTCTATACTTGACTTTCTTAACAGATCCTTACCAATAAGCAGAGTGATCTTCGACATGGTATCTTTTCCGCTAAAAAGTCACTTAACTTCTGTACTGACTCTGACTTTTTACTTGGGCTTTTATAAAGTGCAGCAGCACCCTTTTAGGAAAAGAGATTACATTTCTCTTTATAAAATGTGTTTTTGTTATATTCAGGAAATATTTAATCGCTATTCAATTTAAAGGTGTCCTACTTATTATTAATTTCCTGAAACTTTTCCATCTTTTATAATGGGCTTTTATTACTGATTTTAATACTTACCATATGTTTCGAAACATCTGTCCATCGTGATTTTCGTTGTTTTTGGTGTTTATATAAAGTCGAGTCAGTTGGTAGATTTCTGTAGTTTGTAACTGAAAAGTTTTCGTAAAGAGACGACAAGCTAAAGTTATGCATTTTACAACGCTGTTGAGCTTATTTGTTGGCAAGGCTGATAAGGCTAATTATTCTGTTTAATTACTAACTTAAAAACCTCTTCTATAGTCCTCTGCTTGACCCTGGTTGCTGGTCAGGAACGTGACTGCGATGAATTGGCCCGCCGGTGTGAGTCCTGCGTGAGGCGTCTTAATAACTCGATTGATCGGGAATTGCCCCTTTTGAATAAGGAATGTAGGGAAAGGACTCAAAGGCGCTGGCGCTGGAGGGACATTGGACGTTGTGAGCTCACCAAATTGAACTGTTTGGGTAAGTTTAAGATTATACCAAATGTATTTCTCTTTTTAATATTAATTTATATTATCTCTAGGATGGGAACGACGCATGACCTGTGCCGACATTGCTGAATTGGCTGGCATGGAGCGTAGAAGGGACTGATAAAGTAAAACCTAATAAAATATCGAAGAATTAAATAAAAACTAAAGAGAGAGCATTGAAGTAAAACAGTAAAGTCTTTTTATTTACACTTAAGACTTAAGATGTCAAATTTCTTCATGCCACTTTTGCATTGCATAGCGAACTATTCGATCTTCGATTTGATAATCATTATGTGGATCATTATGATCATGATCCAATTCCAACTCATCTGTATAGGTTTTCATCAAGCCGTTACTTAAAACATCTAACATTCGCTGCACTTTGATTCCATCAGAACTTTCCGCTTCAGTTGTTAAATGATCATCGTACACCTCAATATCAATCTCAGTTGATAAGTCATTTTGATCATCTGATTTATTAGTACTACCAATCGTTGTTATATGATCATGACTTTCATTGTGATCTTCATAAGCGACAGTCACTTCATCATCACTATTGGCATATTCCATATTGGGACGCGTTAGGTGATCATCTGGTGGTTCTTCGGGATCAATATAATCTGCGTTTTCATGGTTTGGTTGTCCAAAGTCTGTCAATCACTTAATAACGTATTTAATACAATAAGTTTTTAGTTAGACTTACCTACTAACAGAAGAACACATAACATATTAAAATGCAAGAAAGTTCCCATTTTCTCCTCGTATATCTTACAGCTCTTAACAAAAATATAATACTGATGGCAGGCATATGAAAACACACTGCATTTATTATGGCAAGCTGTTGCTTATTTAAACAGCATTTCTTTATTAAATATATAATGGACTTGTCCATATTTATTTATCAAAAAATATAGATAGAAGATCGAAGCTTGTAATACTCTATAATCTATTTTTACAAAAATAAGCAAAGGAGTCTTATTTAACGCTTTAAAAATAAAGTACAACAAAACATTAGTCGTTCTTCTTGTTTATAACCTCACGTTCTTTCATTTATTCAGTTATCTTTTGATCATATATCTTTCAGCTTTGAAATAAGATGTAAAACTGTCGTCTGGCATGAGGAAATTCATTGCTTTTATCTCTGTTGATGCGTTTTGCATTATTTGGACAGCATTTTTATAAGAAATAAAAAAGTATTTATAAATAATTTTTTATTAAGCGAAAATTCAAAAATCTTTCTACATTTCATTAACTCAAAAAAAAACTACAATTGGGACTAAAAACTGTGACTTATAGGTAGAAAAATCAGATATTTAAAATCAGCTATAATTTAGAACAGAGCTGCTCAAATTTGTCTTACGGCAGAGCAGCAATTACTAGCACAAATATAAGAAAACGTGTACATATTTAGTTACGCTTTTGTGTTGGTTTGCAGCTGTGCACTGAGAGAAAAATAGACACCTTCTTTTTGCTTACCCATTCATCGCTCATTTCAACACTCACGTTGATGGTCCACTGCGAAATAAACTCGAAAGCGCAAACAAAAGGTATAACAAATGATTTGCAGTGCAAGTGTTGGAGGATGACCAAGAAAGAAAAAAGAACAGTTAGCGAAGAAATGAGGATGAAGGAATAAAACGAAAAATTGTAAGTGGAATAGCAGAGCGAGCGCTCAAAGCTTATGGACGAGCAAGCCCATATGCAGTGAGGATTTACAAAAACAAATTAACACTCAGAGCTTAAGCGTTGAGCACCCCTGAACATAATATCAATATACATACCTTTAACTATTATTTAATATTAAGCATACTAAAGATCGCTGTATAGTAAAATTACCGAAAGCTCCTAGCCATTCTCCAAAACAGAGCTTCACCACGGGCCCAGGTCTCAACCCACCACAACCGATCAGCCAATATAGCTGAGCCTCTCGCAGGTAAACAAAACTCGGTCAGAATTCCGCGAGAGGAAAATGCCGAAACAGGCCCGTCTGGCTAACAAATATGTATAAAAAAGAAAAAACAAAAACTGGCAGGCAGGCGTTAATATGCGTACAATATTGTTTAAACAAGAGACGAGATCTGTTACTGTCGCTCGATCTATCTGCTTAAATACACAATGTGATAACGAAGATTACGGGCATTATTAAAACAATCTTTTTCAAACTGCGATCTGTTCAGTCGTCAGCTGTTGTCGCTGTTTTTCACACACGAAAACTGTAAACCAAAAAACCGAAGGAGTAAAATAAATAATATATGGAATAATCGTAGAACAGATCAGTTTGTTGGCGGGTTACCAAAGAAACGGTCGCGTTTGCTGGCCGCTTACTACATTCATTTTTGTGCCAAATTCGTTTTTAAATATATTAACTCTTGAAGTGATTGATTGATTGATGGACTACGTAGAGTGAAGTGGTGCAATCATGTCTAATTACACAGTGGTGCGTGTAACCAAAGTGCAACCATATCTGCATACGACGGGCAGTAGTTACGCAGCTTTGGCCAATGTCGACAGCTATTATGCACCGACCTTGGAGGCCGGATTACTAGATTTCCATGGAAATAACACTGCAACCCATGCCAATCTCACGGCAGAAAGCGTTCTGGTTTTAATCGGTGAAGAGAACTATGGCTATCGATCCACCTCGACCATAGTTCTCATGGTTTCCGCCTGGATCCTTCTCATTCTAGGCTTTGTCTTCTGCTGCTGTGCCGAGTGCTGTGGCGTTAGTGTTTGGCGTGGCAAAAAGACACGGTCCAGTATCGATGGCTTAAATCAGGTGGAACAGGGTGGCAGAGGGAGTGGCAGTGGTAGTACCACCCACGATACAGGTGAGTGTGCCCAGTTCGAAGTTCTATCAATGAAGCTTTTGTTTTGGGGGGGCTCGTTTGCATACTTTTAGGCTGCCATCGAATATTGATTGGCCCTGGGGAGAGAAGCAAGTTTTCCCTTGCCTGTGGATAACTCGAGTCATATTTCACAAATATCCCCATAAATGGCAACAATAAACAAGCCGCCGCAGGGATATCCAAGATTCGAAGAGTGCTATATATACTCTTTGCTAACGTTGGGTATAGGGAATATATAGAGTACCTTTTAAATACCTTAAAAAAAATATAGAAAATTCTAAACCAGAGAATGTGATACTTTCTTCTTTCTTTCCTTGACTATATTTTCGATATAAACATACACAATACCTGTCCAGATGTGTTCCCTAAATTTCGTTGACCCCCATGAAACTGGCAGGGTATAAAAATGCATTTGAATGGCCTGTCAATGCGCTTTGCTGGCATTGCTGAACTACTTTTCGAACGGCACGAAGGGGCCTCTGTGTGCTGGGGAGTTGCACTGCGGAACTGCCTGCCTCATCGATATCATAAAATATTTAGCTATTTCTCTTATTTCGTTTCGCTTCGTATTTGCCAAATTTGGCATGCGTTTTGGCTGAAAATTGGCTTTTGGCCAAGTTAACGAAACGTTCAGAGGAACGAATGCTTCTTTGCAAACAAACACACAAGCTAGGATTGCATACAAACACTGATAAATAATGCTACTAAAAATATATATTTAAACTAAATATTTTATAATAAAATTAAGTAGGTTAAAAAGTAGTTTATTTGTCATAAAGATTATGTACTTAAAATAGTTATAAATAGTTTTGAAAAGATTCTTCAGCGAAGGGAAACGTTATGTCCTTTTAAAACCAGGAAGATTTCTATTAGTAAATTACATCAAAACTTTTTTTCAAATATTTCTAAAACTTCAACTATTTCTCTCACTGCATAGACACTAGAATTTGGTCTGATAATGTGGCTGCATATGCTGCGTTCAACTCCATGCAGCTTCTGTTTGCATCGTTGGCAATTAGCATTGTCTCGAAGATATTGCGTTTCATTAGAGCGATATGTGTGTTTGAGAGTGTTTGTTTGCACCAGTGTATGTGCGTGTGTGTGTGTGTGTGTGTGTGAGCCAAAGTGCACAGCAGTCAATGGGTCATTTCGATAACGGGAAAATTTGTTGCAAAATTTGTTTGGCATTTAAGCCGAAACTGGGATTTGTGTATTGTATGGCTGTTGCCACAGAAGCTTAAGTTGTTGCATTTCAGCCATCCTTTCTGTCGATTTTTGGTGTGCTTTTGTATCCTGGCATTTCCAACCTAACAATCGAAACGATATTTGAGCCAATTGTGAGTGAGCACAGATAATAGCTTCAAAGTGCACATAAATAGTGTTTCGTTACGCCCATTTAAGTCCGCAAAAGTGTGTTCAATTAAAAGCGATGATGTTTGTGAAGAGAAACTGTCATGGTTTTGGGGTAAAAGAATAGAAAATTGTAGTTTAGAACATTGATGGAAGATTTCATGGGTAAACTTTCAGATAATCAAGTTTAGCTATATCTAAACATTAAACTTTTCAATTTATGAATTTCGTTATATGAAAGTTAGATTTAATGCCCGATCGATAATCCCCTTTCATACACAACTAACCTATATAACATATTTCTTTCTATCTACCTCATTGTGGGGCACATTCAATTTATACACTCGAGCGCATTTGGCCCATTTCGATAACAACATAAGAAGCATCTTAGTATGCCAGTGCAATAAATTCTTGCACTTTCGTTTCGAACTGTGGCCACAAAACGTGCCTGGGTCTTTTAGTTCTTCCCCGGCCAATACTTGCCTAGTTAATGCCCCGCGTTCCACACTCACTTCTGCCCCCGAACACGAGCCAACTTAAAGTTGAGAGCCATAAAAATTGCGCAAAGTCACAAATGTTTTATGAAACTTTTTGTTTTATTTTTTTTTGCCATTTTTTTTTTTTTTATATATTTTTTATTTAGCCTGACGCTCATTTCGCTGCACAAGTTTTAATAAAAAACTTCAGGCTCTTGTGCGAAAGCAACTGCAGTCGATGCTGCTGCTCCTCGACTTTTCTCTGTTCAGGAATTCATAACCGCATTTCCCTCTCGGGTTGGCCGGGAAAATCAGAGGGGGGGTGGGTGGTAAGCGGCGGAAAACCAGGAGGCGCAGTTGTACATACCAATTGCTTATGTATCGACAATATGGGGCTGTGAAGGAGCAGGGGTGCAGCCACCCAAAAGCCACCCAACCGGGTCCCAGCTGATGCGGCAAAAGCCCGGGCGTATAATAAGTTTTTGTCTTCCAACGAGTGGAGCAGCCCCTCTGCCAAGTTCTTCGCCTCGAGTTGAATCTATAATTCAGTTTTCCCAGCTATTTCCTTTTGTCTTTCGATGCGTAGGCCACTTTAAATTTTCTTAACAAATTTGTTAGTGAGTTACGGAAAGAGAATGAAAAAGAAATCAATTTGCAGCCTTTTGTGATCTGAATGAATGCTCATTTTTTGTGTTTTTAGTAACAAGAAATAATATTTTAATATTTTTTATATTTATAAATGAGTTTGCAAGCCACGGACAGTAATTCAAGCTTTGAACTTTGACTTATCTTTGACTTAGATCCTACCTTTAAATACTTAACCAAAAACTAAGTAAGTTTAACTAACTTAAATCCTGACAGTCCCTCGTACATCGAATCTCTTGCTATCAAAAATCTACTTTAAAATTACACGGATTTCTACTTCGTGCTATGAAACCAAAAAGTAAGAGAACTTTTTATTATTTATGCAAGCAAAAATGCGTAAAAATTTCTCTCAACTTTATTTGCTGTTTACGCGCTTCATTTGCGGGGACGAAAACAACGCCCACCCAAGCCACCCACTTTGAACCAGCAGAAAAACCACCCACTGTCCCGATAA